ATCTGCAACTGGGATTTTTGACCACATCTCTTGGATTTACAGAGAATAATGGTCCCAAAGAGGATGGGCAGATAGGTAGAGAAGACTAGGTAGAAAAATAGCTGAGATCACCACTGGTTCCAACCAAGATTTTCTGAACAGCATCTCTGAACCATGACACCTGGCACCAGGTGGACTGCAGCAGCAGAAGACCACAGTAGGTGTCAGTCCTATCAGCTAAGAAGAGGAAACTGATGCTACAATTCACACCAGAACTGGAGAGTCTGGATTTCAGCATCATTCATAGACGGGTCAGAATTTGGTGTCACCAACATGAAAGCATGGGTCCATCCTGACTTGTATCCGGCTGCTGCTGGTGGTGTCTCGGTGTGGGGCAAATTTTCTTGTCTCGCTTAGGATGTACAGTATCCTAACTGAGCATCATTTAACCACCACAGCTTACATAAAAAATAATTACAGACACTTATTTTGGATTAGCCACATGGAAGATGCCTCAGAAGAGAGAGGAAAGAAAGAAGGTAGTAAAACTCTCTACAGAAACTAGTTTTCACTCAAGAGAATCACTGATTTTAACAGCTCATCCCCAAGTCTGCTGATTGTAATGCACCAATCAGGGATTGGTGCCTATACTTTGATGCTGCCTTTTGTTGTAGCCCTGGTTGCTATGAAGTGTGATATGTAAATTAAACTGATGCTGACATGTTATTCTCCACAGCTCTGTCCACGGTTGCACACACACGACCTTCAGGTCAGGCTTTAAAAGGTGGGGATCTTAAACGTTAGGAATTGTCCAGTTCCAAATATAAACAATAGCACTGTCGAGACCTTTAGTGTGCTATAAGAACAGAGGTGCTGCGTGCTGACAGGCAGGGCAGGCAAATGCTTGGAGCCCTGTGGCCTGAAGATGGCTCCAGAGGGTAGACATGCTTTGCAACAGTAGTGAGAGACAGTCATTTGACAAAACTGTTTGATGTTTTTGAAGGTGACATTTTTGTGTATTGTTAAAAAAAATAATAATAAAGACAAAACTATTGACTGTTTCACTTTCCCTGGCAGGGCTCTCCCTCCCAACTGCATAGCCTCAGACTGGTTGCACACTTCCTCTTCTGGCCTGGCTGCAACTTCCCTTTGTGACCCCTCATCTGTCACAGAAATCAACCCAAACTGGCTTCGTAAACACGGCGATGAGTTTGCGGGACTCCAGTGGCCTTCACAGTCACTAACCAGCCCAGGACCTTTTGAATGTGGTGGAGCATCATGCATGTAACTGTCCATATGGACCAGAACCTCAGAGAAATGCTTCTTTTGTTGAATCTATAACACGAAGAATTAAAGCGGCTCTGAAGGCAGAAGATGATCCTGCCCAGTGCTAAGGTGTATATAAGGTGTCTGGTTTTTATTTTTGTCTAGAGCCATAAAAAATACTCGAGATCCTACCTGAAAGCAGCTTCTACATCCAAAGTTCTCTTCGAGGATTATGGAAACACATTCACGTGCGGCAAACCTCTTCCTCCCTTCTTCTTTGTTTCTGTAATGCATTCTGATTGGATGATGGGACCTTTTCACCAGAGCGTTTCTTTGGCTGTTAAGCCTCCAAAAATACCCGGTCCATGTAATCAAAACTAAATGATGTTGCAGTATTGGAAATCGGACAACATTGTGTTAAAATATCAAACAATGGCTCGGTGAAGACGTAAAACAGGAAGAACAATAGATGAAACCTAAGGTGAAAATCTGCTTCTGCGGCTGATTTATCCATCGTTATTAAAGTGCATTTGCTTGCTTGTTTTCTCAGTTGTTTCTCCCATTAGTCCTTGTCTCTGCTTTTATAGCTTTTAGATTATTTTTCTATTTAATCAATGGAAAAATCTAGGAAACAAAACAACTATGGCTCCTGCTCTTATTTGTTGCACACACAATGCATCGCTTTCCACCAGCAAACCTGTTATTTGTCCAACTGTTTTGAATAATGAGAAAGTAAAGAGCACACAAGTTCTCAGGTGACAAAAAAAAACTGTTTCTCCACCAAAACGACAAGGCAGAAAGGTGTGTGAACATTACCCGGAATTTTAAAAGTGGAAAAATAAAACTACTGAGTCTATCTTTGACCACATCTCCAAATAAAAAAGCACACGTTATAAATCAGATATGGAGAGGGATTTTTCAGAAGGCGCACACGGAGAAAATGGATTAGAAACAGAGGATAAGGATCTTTATCAGAACTTTACTTGTGCAGAAAATATCAGGCTCTCCTTTTAAATCTTGATGTGAGTTTTCTCCAGTTATCTGTTTGTGTTTTTGAAGCTTTTGGCTTTGCTACCAGCTGACAAAGTAACCATGCAAGAGACTTGAAACAATCTAATGTCTTCACTGACCTCACACTCCCACTCTTCAGACTTTAAACATTCCTGATCATTTGTCCAACTGCTTGAAAATAAGTTGAGTGGGACTAGGGTGGAACTTGCTTACAAGAAAAAAAATCTGAAGACTTTATAAGAAGATTTTCATGTTTTGTTTTGAAACAAAAGCATAACATTTTGGACTAAATAGTTTGCTGGTTTGAGGCCTGAACACCTGAGAGATAATACAGTGGGACTAATGTATTTTGAGGAAAAAGCTGTTAATTCAATTCAATTTTCTGTTAGATATATTTTCTAAGGCGTTTTGATGTAATTGCTTCTTAAAAACCAACATTTGAAGTTGGCATCCTAATGACCTACTAAATCACTATCTTCTCTGTGGTTTATTGACTCTATTTGGGCGTTTCAGTGAAGTTACAACAGGAACAATTATTTTAAAAATTAGGTGAAAAAACGAACATGCCAAAAATTAGGGATTGTTACTCGGTTAAAGCAATATAAAGCTGTGATGTTCAAAGAGTAATGAAACAAATCATTCTGTTTTGTTACATGGGCCTTAGCTTAAGTATATCAAAAGCTTTTTTCATGCAGGGCAGCAGCAGCTCAGGAGGTAGAGCGAGTTGTCCAGTAATCGGAAGGTTGCAGGTTCGATCCTGCTCCAGTCGGAGGGACTGGTGGCGCCTGTGCACGGCAGCCTCACCTCTGTCAGTGCGCCCCAGGGCAGCTGTGGCTACATCGTATCATTGTGAAAGTGTGTGAATGGGTGAATGATACACTGTAGTGTAAATCGCTTTGGAGTCCTCTGACTCTGAAAGATGCTATACGAGTGCGGGTCATTTATCATTTATCAGGAACATAAAAATAGTCTCCTACACCTATCTCCTGCATTAACTTCTGATAGAAAATAGACAATGAAACTCTAGGATTGTAAAATCCTCACACATCTACATCACACTGTCACTTAACATTCATGGACTCACCCATCGTGACTCACGACAGAGAAAGCTGCTGTTTGTTTTAGAGTCCAGGACACAGCAGAGAACGTCTAAACTAGTAGAAGCTAACTTTTAACATTAGCATCTCCACCACACAGCAGAACTCATTTAGGCTGGAATTGTTTGTGAAGATAAAACATCAACATTGCAGAGCAATCATAGTCAGTGGTAAAGTTGTGTAGCTGTTATCCGATTAGAGGTGAGATGTCCAAATATCGGGAAATATTTTTTTTGACGTGTTTTGCTCAACTCTGTGGCATTCTGCTAGTTCCTGAAACAAGTGCATGTGATGGTGCTATTGCAGCCCGGATCAAAGCAGTGTTTTGCCATCTTAAATGCACTCCAGAATTCTGTTCATGAAAACATTATTTTAAATTTTAAGTTATACGGTCAACAATTTGCAGTACAGCGGCATTTTGGTAGAAATATTAAGATATTCTTGCAGGACTTGGCTGCTGAATGTGTCACAATTTATTTTCAGTATCACATGCATTTAATTATAAAACTAAATTAAAATTAATCAATTGATAGCTTACAAAACTAATGGTGGTGTAGAAGTTTTCGAACTAAAAACATTTAACTATTGGCATAGTTTTAAATTGGTGGCATTATTTTTATGCCTCAGACAAGCTTAATCAGCCCCTGGGGGACATAAGTCCCTTTTCCCAACTAGAGGCCTCTTGCCACAAAGGAGTCCATCAAGAATAGGTAAAAAATAGCTGCCCGTCGATAGAGAAGGAAGTGATGCCACCATTAGTGGCTAGCTCTGATGAAGACTGCATTAGTTGTCTAAACTGTCAGCAAGGTAAATAAACATTTCCTGTGTTAAAAAAATAACCTAAAAATGCTATCAGAAGATACACACAGATACAACAGATGAATAAATAGTAAAGTTTACACAGAAAGACTTTACAATTAGAAAGATACTCCTGTGGATTTTGACTCATGATCAAAGCTTATTAGAAACTCTAAACAAAAAAAAGGGAAGGGAAGTTCGTACTCTTAGAACTGTTTGTCAAAAACAACACATAACGTGTTAAATTTAAACACATCTCTTATATGAGCGTGGGGACTCAATGTACAATACAACATTGTGTCTTTAAATAGCAGTCATCATGATTCAAATATCATAATAGCAAGTTTTAATGGGGGTTGGTCTGGTGGTCCAGGGCCACAAAGAAGGGGCTCGTGGGCTGGGCTGCTTATTGAGTATCACCGCTCAGTTTACTGGTAAGAATATGGTGTTCATTATCACTAATCTCAATTCTGACAAAGAGGGGATCTGCTTTTAAAAATTTACTTAAAATGTTGAAAGCCAATTATGCATGTGACCATTTGCAGATCTGACTGGAGAACCAGATAAAAATAGTATATAATGCACATCTCAATTATTTTTATTGCTGTTGTTTAAAATGTATGTTGTCTTAAATGTACGGCAGATGAAAATTGTCTGTGGCTAAATCTGGTGCATTTACACAAAGTAATGACTGAATGCTCATTAAAGCCAATGGTGCTCTCCGAAGAAACTAATAAGAATAGAATAAATTAAATAATAAACAAGTAATTCGAAATGGGTGTGTTTGTGACTATATGTTGCAACGACTTGCCATAAATTATCTGATGGAGCAGAGTCCATGTGAAACTACCTGAATAGACTCCACCCCTTTTGTACTCCTGGTATTTCTCACTCAAAGGTAAGACAGAATTCCTTCATTGTGAAGGAGTGAAACTAGTCGTTAAAATTGTAAAAGCGTCGCTTTAAACAGATTGGATGTTGTTTTTTCCTTTAAGAAACTCGTCTTCGCATATTCAGTTTCCGGGTTAATCTAACTTCCAACCAATCAGCATTCGCCCTGTACGCTACGCCACTCACGACACGAGGGGTTACAGTTTGTTTTGGACCCAAGCAGATTCACCTCAACATTCAAGAATGACAGCAGAAATTTGGGACGTTATTATCGTGGGAGCCGGGCTGTCTGGACTCAGTGCCGCTCATCTACTCCGGAAACGAGATGCCACGCTGAAAATACTCGTGCTGGAAGGAAAAGGTTAGTTAAAACTGAATTCTTGAGTACTACGTTTTTCAGCTGACCTGAAGAGTTGGGTCACGTTAGTTTGACCTAATAATCACATTTGCTTCGCAGATCGAGTGGGAGGTCGGACTGTTTCCTATGAGATTCCTGCAGCCAGTGGTGCTGACCTCTGGGACTTTGGAGGGCAGTGGGTTACAAGGTAACTAACAGACATGTTTAATTAGTCTATAATTAAGACTAATTCACAAGCATTGCAAAAAAGTTGCATCTAAAATAGGAAATAAATAAATAAGGCAACATGAAATCAGTTCCTTCCCATTCTTTTAAGGCTTTTAATTGTCAGAGGAGATGGAAAATATCCAGGGCTGCTTCACTTACATAATTACACCGAGTTCAGTCATTTCCAAATGGCTTTGGCTTATCAGGGCTTATCAGTGACACTTGACAGCGTTTCAACTCTTCGCTGCCATTTGCACACCTGCCGCCTTAATGTGAGCTGGGATCGCCTCCAGTTTCCTGGGACCATTAGAAGGATCAGTGCTGTGGTGCTGATCCAACCTTTTAAAGACTCAGAGGGAGGATTAAGAACATCAATATCAATCACACAAACAGATTAAGAACTCAATTGCCTAATTATTTGAGAGCCCTTGACTAAGATGCTGCATTTCACTCTACACTCCCAGGCATGTGGAGTCACATGGATTTCAAACTTGTTTGCTGCAGTAACTCTCTGCAGAATCATAAATGCATCATTTGTTTGATTGACTTAAAATAAAACTAATTTTTGCAGTGATTTTAGAGGAAGTGGTTGTTCTTTATAGTAAAGTGTATCATTTTAAGTTATAAAAAAACAGCCCTTTGCATGTTTTTGGATCAGGCTTTGGAAAAATCCAGGTACAGCTTGTTTTCCTGCTGGGAGAGGATGGGCTGTTGTTCTGTGAGGTTAAAGGTTACAGGCTCTGCAAACAGTATAAATAGGGACAATTATCTTTACCAGCAGGTAATTAAGCTGAAAAACTAAACAGATCATTTTGTGTAAATACGGATCGTCCAAATAAGCAAGAGCTCTGTGTCTAGGGAGCAGTGTCTCTCCAGATTCCCAGTCTAAAATTTGATTTGGTTACAAAGTGACCATAAGTGGAACCGTCCATGATCTGTGTGTTTTTCAACAGAGCAGCAAGCCATCCATCACTACTTGCTCTAGTAATACCCTTGTGGCTAATTGGATAAATGGTTGATAAGAAAGCATGGGTGCATGCACACAGATTGCATTTGCATCATGTGTTGCTTGAACAAGATCGAAAGTAATTTATTATTCTCATTCCGCAGCATGTTAGAGACACGGGAGAATGAAATATGTCACTCAGTCCAGCCCAGAATCACACTGTAGTAATAAACTGCAGAATATAGCTTAACTTAATAAATGTCAAAGCCTCAGGAAGAATCCCTCCAAGCACTACCAGAATAGGAGTTTCCTTTTCAATTTTCAAGAAACTCCTGAAGACCCTGCTCTTCAGAGAGCATCTTCTTTACTAGCACCCCTCCCTGCACCCGTCCCCCCTCTCTACTGTCCACTCCTTGTTCCCTACTCTCCATGACTGATGTCAAGTTGTTGTTGTTATTGTTGTTGTTAGCCTCAAGGGCAACATGCCGATTATCACTTGTAAGTCGCTTTGGACAAAAGCGTCTGCTAAATACATAAACATAAACATCTGTTCCTCAGTCTTGTGAGTCGGACTTTGGGGTTGGTCAGTCGCCTGCATGAAGGAACTAGGGTGGGCGGGGTCATTTATGTTTTTGTTCTGGCACTTTTCAAGGCGCCCAAAGCATTTTACAGAGGATTCATTGTTCAGGCACACTCTGCTGGTGATGGTAAACTATAGGGATGTGTATTGGTGAAATTATGGTGATACGATATGTATCACGATACAGGGGAGATGATACAATATATCACGATATTTTGTGACTTCAATAATAATAATAATAAAGATTATACATTTTTCTCCATAATTTAAACAGATTCCTTTTTTACTTTGACAAGCAGTTGATTTTATTGCCTTAATTGAGATAGAAACACTAGAGTAGTCTTTCTTAGTCCCACAGTGGGGAAATTCACTCGTTACAGCAGCACATACACTTAGAGAAAAGGAAAAAAGAAAAACAATAATAACAAAAGTGCAGGTAAATACACAAGGGCAGCAAGCTATTATTGTAACCTTCAACAGCAGAAACAACAAACAGAAAAATGAGTTTCCAACACTACACAGCATAAGGGACACAGGCATACTAATGCACATCTGGTATTGCACAAGTGTTGAACACGTACTGAAAATTGCATTTTCTCATCTTATTAATTGTTATTTTATAAACAGTTAAGGTATTTTCCTATTTCCCTCCTCTCCATGACTGATGTCAATTTGTTGTTGTTACTATTGTTGTTAGCCTCAAGGGCAAAATGTCGTTTATCACTTGTAAGTCGCTTTGGACAAAAGTGTCTGCTAAATACATAAACATAAACATTAAAACGTTAGAGTGTAAAACCTGTACACATTGTTCCTGGGCCGATGAGGAGGATTTTAATCTGAGAGGATGAGCGTATTGCAGCATGTTCTGGTTTAGACTTTAACAGGAATTTTATTTATAGATTGTAATTATTGAAAGAAGATATTAGTCAAAGTAAATTTAAGTGGATACATTTTAAACAGCCTATAGAGTTTGCCAATTGTCTACATATTCATCCTGTCACGAAGCCCTTAGCTGTAACCACATTTTGCAGCGTCTGGCCACAATGCTATTACCAAACAAAAAGTTGACCCAGCAGCACTAAAATCAGATTTTCAAATGACTAAATTAAAGTTTAACGTTTGCAGGAAAGGAAAAAGTCATTTGTTTCACACACAGGGTCTGTAAAGTTTTAACAAAGGCAACCTTCACTCGGCAAGAGAAAAATGAAGTTCATTGTTAAAATGACAGTTTGTGTATTTCATTCTACTCATCTTAAAAGATTTTTCTCGTTACTCAAGGATTTACCTCTATGTTGTGCCGTAAACACTCTGTTAGATGAAAAGGTTATAAATAAACATTGGGAAGCACCTGAAAGCCAATTTTCTCTTACAGCACTCAAACACACGTCATGGAGCTCATAAAAGAGTTAGGCCTGGAGGTCTATTCGCAGTTCAATACTGGGAAGAAGGTGCTCCACGTGGGTGGGCCGACCGCCAGGGTTCGAACATACACAAGCAGCATCCCTGCTCTGTCCCCCTTGGTGCTCCTGGACCTCACCCTGCTCCTGTGGAAGGTGAGACATCAAACACACCTGTATTCTGTTCTTAGGATGAAGTTCAGGCCGATATCTTGCCCAACTCTGATAAGCATCAGTTAATAACCCCAATTCTCAGAGGAAATGTCGTGTACTTAGAAAGATAAAGAGGGGTTTGATTTATTGCTTGAAGTGTTCTGCGTGTGCATTAAGAATGAGGTGGGATTCAAACAGTTAGCCAGAAATATGCTTCTATAACCATGTGTGTGCATACTTATTGTATTTTGCTGTATGCTTTGGATCAATAAAATCTATTTATCACACAACAAAGTGGCACAATATTTCCAGTTGCACATAAGTGCTTGGAGTAGAGCAGCCAGGGAAAATTGCAGTGGCAAAATCAGATTTGGCTGCCACCTGCTATTCGTTTGTTGTTGTCTGTTTCAGCCTGAATCACAATGGTAGAAACCATTGTGTGTGATGTGGTTATTATATTTTTTAGATTGACACACTGAGTGGAACAGTGTGTGTCCACGATCCTTTGAAGACTCCAAATGCTGTGGAGCTGGACAGCATGACTCTGCATTCTTACATTGAACAACATGCTTGGACTGCAGGTCAGTAGAACATTTTCTGCCTTTAACCGTTTTACCTCTAGTTTTCTCCTTTTGGTTTTGGTCAGACAGACAGAAAGAAACATTCAGCAGACTTTTCTACACAACCAGGACCAGATGTATAAATGATCAAGGCACAAAAAAATAGTTGGTGTCTTTTTCAGGCCGTGGCCTTCAGGTTTTCACTCAGGTGTTTGCACTGGAATATGAAGCAGCTGCAAAGGGACTGGTGCCTCAAGCAAAGGAATTCAACCTTGGGGTCTTGCTTATGACTGTTAGGGTAGGACTTATGGAGGTTTTCTATCAGTACTTACTCGCCACAACTCAAATTAGTTTGGTTTGGTTGGACAGGATTTTTGTCAGTAATAGGTTGCTGCCAGCTTCTCAGTACCCTCTTTGATGTGGTTCCAAGCTTACCAAGTTGGGTAGAAAATGCAACATCAGCACCTGTTGGTCACTGAGTGGCTTGAGCAGTAATATAAAGACAGATTAATCAGGACTTCATCTTTAATAATGAGGACATCACTCTGAGTCGGAACAGCAGGAGAATGCCTTCTCCAGGTCAGGGATGAGGTCCTGCCCCAAGTGGAGGAGTTTAAGTGTCTCGGGTCTTGTTCACGAGTGAGGGAAAGATGGAGCGTGAGATCGATAGGCAGATTGGTGCTGTGTCTGCAGCGATACGGGCGTACCAATCCGTCATGGCGAAGAGAGAGCTGAGCCGGAAGGTCGATTTACATTTCTACCTTCACCTATGGTCACGAGCTTTGGGTAGTGACCGAAAGAACGAGATCATGGATACAAACGACCAAAGTGAGTTTTCTCTGCAGGGTGGCTGGGCTCTCCCTTAGAGATAGGGTGAGAAGCTCAGTCATCTGAGAGGAGCTTGGAGTGGACCTACTGCTCCTCCACATTGCGAGGAGCCAGTTGAGGTGGCTTGGGCATCTAGTTAGGATGCCTCCTGGACGCCTCTCTGGTGAGGTTTTCTGGGCACGTCCAAATGGGAGAAGACCCAAAGGAACACTGGACACACTGGAGGGACTATGTCTCTCAGCTGGCCAGGGAACGCCTTAGGATTCCCCCGGAGGAGCTGGCTCAAGTGGCTGGGGAGAGGGAAGTTCGGGCCTCCCTGCTTAGGCTACTGCCCTTGTGACCCGACCCTGGGTAAACGACTGAAAATGGATGGATGAATGGATGGTATTGCTCTGATCTGTTTTGAGGAAAGAAGGCTGAGTCTAAAGGCAAAGGCCTTGATTGACTGGTCCATTTACATTCTAGCCCATACCTTAGGTCATGCAGTTAGTATCATGGTGGAAAAAGAAAAGAATCTGGCTGAAATGAGCTTCCTCCATGGGGTCATCCTTGGAGATGAGGTAGGTTTGGAGAATACAGCTGCTGCTCTTCCTCATCAGAAGGTATCATCTGAGGCGGTTTGGAAGCCTGACTAGGATAGTTCCTGATTGCTTCATAAGAAAGTTTTCCTTGCCAAGTCTTACTGAAGCCGGGCGTACACTGTGCGACTTTTTCACTCGCAGCGTTCAGCTTCAGCTCAAACTGTACGACTTCCTCGCAGAGCAGATCTCACGAGTCATGTGCTCACACTGCACGACCCAATTCTCGCATGCGACCTGACTGCTCACACTGTACGTCTGGTAGCAACACGTCGGCCCTAAAATGTGCTAAAAATAGCAGTTTTTACACAACACGTCAGACTTTTTTGTCTTGCCTGTTGTCCTTTGGGAGTGCTGCAGGAGGACACACAGGGATTTATGGGGGTTGGATGAGGAAAACGAAATAAAGAAAGTGAATCTGTGTTTTATGATCAGTTTAATTTGACATGATCACGACAAACACGCTTTCTTGACAATCTTTGTGAGTAAAAAAACGTGTAGAAACAAAAACGAACAGCGTGTGTAATTAGGGAAATAGCGAGCGACCGGCCGGCGTTGATGCAGGATTGCGCGCGCATGCGCCGTGAGCGGTTCTGATACTTTTTGGATCGTAGCTGCTCGCAGCTGCTCGCAGCGCCGCTTCAACAGTGCGATACCCTCACGAGGGACGAGCGAAATATTAAACACACCAGAAGTCCCTGCGACCTCACGACTGCTGATCGGCGGCTGGTCACGTGGTGTTAATCGCCTCTCGTAATCCCCTGTACACTACACGACCGCTCGGCGCAAAACTCGCCCCGATGTCGTGGCTTCTCGCACGACTGGAAAATCGGCTCAAAAAAGTGAAAAAGTCGCACAGTGTACGCCCGGCTTGAGTTGAAACTTTGGAGAAGACTCAGAACGTACTGGTGGGATCATACATCCTCTCTGGCCTGGAAATGCCTTGAACACCATAGAAGGAGCTGATGTAAAGGGAAGTAGCTGGGTAAAAGGATGTCTTGACTTTTCACCTGGACCTGTTACCTTCTCCACACACCTTGGGATAAGTGGAAACAGATGGTATCATTTTCCAATGCAGAAAAATGCCCAGGGGAAACTGCTTAGCATTCTTCAGAATTTGCATACATGTTTTCACCGCAAATGAAGCCCCAACTAGTAAACTGGAACTAGACTAAACAGGCAGGGTTTAAAAGAAAACAAAACAGACAATTTCAATGAAATTTTGGTGAAATATATTGAATTTAATTATGTGTGATGAAATTTTCTAATTCACTACTTGAAAAAATAAACGGAAACACTGAGAACATGGCTGCCTCATTCAACAAAAAGAGACAATAGCTCCAAGAACAACGTTTACCAGAGCTTCTTTTTACATTTCAGTAAAATTCAAAGCTTTTAGCATGTTTTTCTACTGTAATAACTGTATATATATTTTTTATCTTTTTACCGTTCTTCAGGTAAAAGCAGATTAACACGTCTTATTTACAACTGGCATGGCAATGGGGCTGTAAAATAAAACAAATGTTAAAATGAAACAATTATGCAATAAAATCACAGCATTTACAGTTGTTCGTTAAAATAAACATATTCTGCTGGTTTTCCAGCCTGCACAGGACCTTGGTTAATGTGAACATAAATTCATTTTCAGCTTTGCTTTCAGACCCCAGAGGCAAATGAAACACATCATTATTCTTTAGTGGGATGATGGTTCAAGTCTGATTTTGTCTCGTTATTGGTTTTATTGTGTTATTAAGTTATGGTTGCTAATTATATCTATAATTCAAGGATGGCTACTCTGGGTATTTTGAGAGGAATATTTAGAGGTGATTGTTTTTTGTTGGCAGAAGATGAAAGTTGGCTCATGTGCTGCTTTATTCTTCTAAAGGCTGTTAAAGTAAAATTGCCATCTGTGCATTTATGTCTACGTCCTGCCAATCAACAGATTCACCAAAGACTGCATGACTCAACTTGGAAGCTTTAACTTTTGCAGATATAGACGTGTTCTTTCAACGTTGATTGCTCCTTTTTCCACACAGCTGTTTTTGTTCTTTTCATGCTTTTAAACGTGAAACCGATACACAGAAATCCTACTGCTTTACTCTAAATGTTCTTATTTCACATTAGGTTTATTTCAGTTGCTTTCTTTCTCGTGTCTATTTGATTACATTGTTAATAACGTGATCAAAAAATCCAAATGATGCATCGGATGTAAACATTTAGATCCAAATATGGCAGGAGGTCAGGATGAAAGTCCACTTGTGAAAACATTTACTTACTTTTTGTAGTACAGACTCTGAACCAGGAAATGGCTGCAGGCAAGAAGCTCTGGACCAGCCAGTGACTCTATCTCCTAGCCAGTAACTGGCCGACAGTCATGTTTCCGGACCAGGTCAGAACACTACGAACCGTTGCAACACAGAGACTAGAAAGTAGAAGGAAAGTTGGGGGAACATAGAACTATGCTGCTGAAAAAAGCTGCCCAACCAAACTGGTCCCATCCGAGTCACGCTGAGCAGTGCTGTCGGCAAACCTTCTAAGGAGGTTGTTGCACTTCATTGAGCTTATTGACATGTTCAAGAATCCAGTTGGTTTTCATTGTTTATTTTTCTGAGTTTGATGACATGGTGCAAGATCCAGCTGGAAGTAGCCATCAGAGGATTGGTCCACTGTGGTCATAAAGGGATGGACATCAACAATACTCAGCTAGGCTTTGGTGTTTGCTTGATGCTCTGCTGATAAGGGGTCCAATGTAAAGGTCAACCTACTACCCCCACACCATTACACCACCAGCTGCTTACTGAGGGAGAAATTCAGCTGAAATCAAGACTTAGGAAACGTTTCTCCATTGTCTTCTGTTCCAGTTCCGGTGATCCTGTGTGAATGATACCTTCAGTTTCCTGTTCTTAGTGACGCTACTGCTTTGGTTCATCTGGAGCATGGTGTTATGATTCGGGGATGGTTTTCTGTAGACCTTGGCTGAAATCCATATTTATTTAGTGCTGATATAATTTTATTGGAGACAATTTTAACAACTTTTAATTGTTGGTTTAGCTATGCAGTAAATGCTGCTACTGTTTGATCATCTAGAACCTGTCTGTCTTTTTCCACTGACACCAAAAATAATTTTCTTCCAACAACTGCTGCTTACTGGAAAACTTACAGATAATTCTCTGTAAACCGTAGAGAGGAAATTCTCAGACCAGCCCTTCTGGTACCAGCAACCATGTCACATTTAAAGTCCCTCGAACCCCCTTTTTTAATCCCTACTCTGATGCTCAAGTTGAGTTTCAGCAAGTTGTCTAGATGACTAAATGCATCAACTTGCTGCATTCTGACGGGCTGATTTGTGTTACTAAGCAATAAAGCAAGTGTACCTAATAAAGTGGCCAGTGCATGTGGCTTTAAAGCTAGTAAAACACCCAAACCTCAGTGTTGTCAGAAGTTATTCTAGTGGAATATTATAGTCTACAATGAGGTAAAAGTTGGAGCCTTAAATGTTTCCTTTTCTATTTTTAGTCACAATAAAGTTTGTACTTAAATACTTCCAGTGACAGGATTCAAAAGGTGATGCTCACCAGGCATAACATTTACTGTCTCAATCTGGCAGGCAAGCATGCATCTGCTCATGCTTGCATCTGACAGATAACATTTTGTTGATACGTCTTGTCTGGTGGTGTGAATGGTCTTGTGGCTTTAACTGGCATAATCAGATGTTTTTGCCAAATTTAACGACTCTGCAGTGCCGGATTTATTGGCGTCATGCTAAAAAAGTAGTCGGAATCTGACAAGATGATTACAGGTAACGATTTTTCTCTCGAGCAGAACTATAACTTCCTTCTTTCTTTTTTTGTGGTTGAACAAAGTGCTGTTTTGCAGCTTGCAAAGAACAACAGTTTTGAGTGCTGTCTTTGCAGAGAAATGTGTCTTATTATTGCTCGTCTCTTGTGTATCCATCCCTCCGTGGCAGAACTGAAGGAGCAGATAGGAGTGTGCAGCAGATCTGTTTTTGGCATGGAGCCTTCCCAGATGTCCTTTCTATTCTTCCTCATGTACTCTGCAGCAGCTGGAGGCTTGCTGGCACTTCTGGAGAGCACTCCAGGCTGTGCCCAGGAGTTCAAGATAAAGGTACACTGGTCTGATCATTTCTCCTACTGCTATTGTTGACTTTGGCACTTTTAAAACTGGAGATCACACAGGTAAACTAAGCTTCTCCACTGTCCACTCATCTCATCCCATGTCTCATAAAACACAGCTTTATAATCTCTGAAACATTTATTTGGACCGACTATTTCTTCCATCAAACATATATTTCCAAAGTAACCCCACTTTGTACTCCTGCATCAGTCTTCAGGTTTGCCACAGTGGAAAAGTGTAGAAAAGGGCTGAAAGCCAAAAAAAAAAAAAAAAAAAGGCTGTAAAAACTAATGGATTAACAAGGTCACCCACAAAACTGCATTAGGGCTTTTTGTTTCAAACGTCCATAACAGAACTTTTTTTGTTCCACTGTTTTCCTCCACAGCAGGTTTCTCCAGATACACTCAGAAGAAATTACTGTAAACATCCAAAAAGGCTTAGAACCAGTGAGAGGTCGATTTAAAATGTAGTCTTGTTTTGGATGCACCTAAAAGAAATCAACTTACATCAATCGGGCTTTCTTATTTTATTGCTAGTTTATGCCATATACTTTCATTTCTAAACAAAATAGTCAACATTTGACTTATTGTTCTGCATGCATGACTGATTTAAGGGCTTGGCTACATTAATTTACATCAGTAGTTTCCAACCTTTTTTCACGAGGACCCCCTTTCCTGTGTCCAAGACGAGCCAGGGCCCCCCAACCCCACCCCTACTCGCATGCACACAGTTAAAAGTGAATAATTACAAACTTTGAACAGACATACAGAGTTATGGCTCTTACACAGATGTTTGATTGTACTACTGGGTATGTTATCTGGATTTCTGCAGCTGTGTCAGCGCTCAGAGCTCTTCCATTTTATTGGAGAGAAAGCGGACATTTCCCATAATCACAAAGGGTAGATGTGGTTAATATTTCCGTTCCTTCTCCACAGCGTAATTCTGCTGCGTCTTTGTTTTTCGTTTCTCCGTAATTCTGGAGGTGGAACCAGCGTTTCACATGGAGAAGTTAGCTGCTTAAGAGAGCTGTCACTATCTGTGCCTACATTAAGGGCATTAAAACATTCACAGAAGAAAAAGCAAAGAATGAAAAGAGAGCTAGCTGCAGCCCACCTCATGCTCTCAGTAACCCAACGCGATCTTTCCTTTTTCGTACTTTGGAGTCCATCTTCATGGTAGCAATTCACCGCTAAATAAACCTGAAATTTTATAGTCTACATTCGCAGTCAAAACAGGAAGTCAATTTCATGAGATTTACAACAACAATGGTAATGCTTAACATTTAAATTAGTCTTTGAAAGTTAACTTGAGTTACTTGCTAAAAATATATTTCAGCTTTATAAATTTCAGGACTTGAAATTGGATTGGATTTGAAGTTTAAAGATCAGATCGGGATCGGGAGCCTAAAAAAGGAAAAGGAAACAAGTCTATGTATGCATTTGTGTATATATGTATGTATATATGTATATAACTTTATGCTTCATTCTGTGTAACTTGTTTTCTCTTTTTTTCAATTCATGGGGTGAGGTTGTGTTGGCCAACCAGTCCAGAAACTATATTGTTCAAAATTTTTAAGAATGTTATTTTAGTTAAAAGGGGCAGACAACATTAGTTTTTCTTCTTTCTGTCCCCTTTTTCATTTTGGCTTTTAGCCATTTAGTTCTGTATTTTTATTTTAATGTCAATAAATGAAAAAAAATGCTGATAGTGAAATCCTTAATTTTGATATATCAGTAATGGTTTTATGGTCAATTCATGTTTTTTTTTTTGGTTACTTGTGTACATAAAACTGACAAAAAAAACTGAAACCGAGTCAGGGGTAGTATAGTTATGTCCTATTTCTCATATAAAACAAGGTACTGTATTCATGTGGCTGAATGATGAAAATGCAGCTGAGGTTTATTTAGATAAATGAGTGGAAATATTAGCTTATAGTTAATTTTAATATATTTCTGTGTTGAATCAAATGTTTAACAAAAATCTTTATTCCATAAGAAAAAAATAGTTAAAACTTTGTAGAATTTAGTATTTTGAAGATTATTTTTTTTTCAGCTGGAACAATTCAGCTAGTTTTTTAATCCTAACCAGAACAGCCTTGATTTGGCTAATTAAACAAAAATAAGTCAAATATCTTCAGTCAATGCATATTAGGTCTCATCGTGTCGTATCTGTCTCTCTGCAGGGAGGCACCCAGCAGCTTTCTAAGTGTCTGGCAGAACGTGTTGGGTGGAAGAATGTCCGCCTGGGCTCTGCTGTGACGACCATATGGCAGGTAGAGTACAGTAACGTTTCACTCAGGGACTGATGAGGCGCAACACTGAGATAACAGGTTCCTTGCTGGGGAAACGGCCCATCTCGTGTGAGGGGACTGTCTGTTCCACCTGAATTTCTCCCTCATTCACAGCTGAGAGACCAAAGTCGTATCCGTGAACTCCTAAGTGCACCGGACTCCATCAATATAATATTAATTCCTCCAGGAACCCGTTCTTGTACTCATTGATTCCTGAGCTGTAAAGTAAAGGTAGGAAATAGGGGATGATCAAATATTTACCATGATAGGATATGTATTATAGAACACAGAAATAAATGCTGAACTCTCCAGTGAGTGAGAAGTGTCTGGTGTCATGAGGCCCAAATTCATCTGACTTAATTTTTTTCTTTCTTTCTTTATTGAACATGCATGCAAATCAATAGACAACCCAAAGCATTCAAAAAGTATCCAAAAAGAAACCCACACATATGTATATGCATATATACACATACACACACACACATATATATATATATATACATATACACATGTAGAACATGTTCAATGGGAAGGGAACGAAGCTCTGGTAGCTTATATAATCCCCCCCAAATCAAATTTCAAGAAAGACAAAACAAAAAATTATATATATTTTCCCTACACTGAGTGTCATTGCCATTTTCCTATAACATGTTTTATCCTCAATCACAGAAAAAAACCAATGTGAAGGTAGATATTATTGGAAATGTTTAAAATTATTCATACAATTACTTATTTTTTCTGAATATTTATATGTGATAGAACCGTCAGAAGAATTACATAAGATACAATTACAGCTAAAAAGCTTTTGACTATTCAAACATGAATGTTGGCTGATTTTTATGTTTACCGTAATTTCCGGACTATAGAGCGCACCTCAATATAAGCCACACTGGGCTAAAAGCAGCAGATATGTACTGAATTGAAAACATAGTTTAACTGAACGTAACTGAACTGATCAGTATCAAACAAAAGTGAAAAGTTATTGATTAGTTTATTCATTGTCCTCCTGCGCACTAAAACCACTGAAGTCATCTTCTTCAGTGTCGGAGTTGAACAGCCTCAGAAGAGCTTCGTCACATACCTTTTCGGCGGCGATGTCAGTGTTGCTCTCCGTGTTGCTGTCATCATCCCGGAGTGAAGCTATTAAAACAAGCAGCACTGTTTTACTGTGAAAAAAATCCTCCTGGGTGCTTTCCGTAGCACTCTAACCATTCCTTCATTAGACTTCCCAGCATCCATCCTTTCTGGTTGACTAAAGCCGCACCTCATTATAGGCCGCATGGTTCAAAGCGTGAGAAAAAAGTAGCGGCTTATAGTCCGTAAAATACGGTACTTATTTTTACCTCTGCAGCAATAACATTTTGGATCTTATCCTACTGAGACCATCAACACCCCCCCTCCGCCCCTGTATATGAGATGGATATGGTCGGGTACGAAAGAGATTAAGGCAGCAGTAGTTCAGGAGGTAACTCTGCTGTTGCGTCTTTGAGCAAGACACTTCACCCTCTGGTGACGCCTGTGCTTGGTGGCCTTACCTCTGTCAGTGCCCCAGGGCAGCTGTGGCTACAATGTAGCTCATCACCATCAGTGTGTGTGAATGAATGATTCACTGTAGTGTAAACCACTTTGGAGTCCTCTGGTTCAGAAAGCCCCTATACAAGTGCAGGTCATCTATCATTCATAATAACACGGCTATGTAAAGACCACCTATCAATGATGAATTATGAATGAATTATTAATGCAAATCATTAATAAGTCCTAATATATAATATATGTTAATGACTCAAGTCATAATACTGACATCTCTCTGGGCTATAAATTTAATTTGACACCATCACTTATTTTCGTAACTCACTTACTAGGGTCGGGGGAAGCTGGTGCTGTTTAAAGTCACCAGGTAACCTGACCGGCATTTTATTTGTGTGTTGGAGGAATCTGGAGAAAACCCACACATGCAAGGGGAGAACATGCCAGGGTTTTACCCACCAACCTACTTGCTGCAAGGCAACAGTGCTACCCACCATGCCACTGTGGAGTTCAGCATCAGTTCAATAACGGCATCTTGGAAAATTATTAATTTTAAAATAAATTTCAGATTATTTATTAGAGATAAAACAATTATTTAATAATTGATTGTTTAAGTTACTTAGTTTTAAGTATTCAGTGACAACTCCTTTTAAAAATCCCACAAAATAGCTGTTCTTGATTAAAATGTAAAGATTTTTTGATTTCCATGTGATAACGCTGGTATCTTCATACATGAAGCTGCATTTACAAATCAGATCAAAAGAGTTTATTCGAGTTTTGGGTTAATTTCACACAGACAGGTCTTAAACTACAGAAAAATGTCATTCTAGTTCCAGTCTCTCATAGACTATTTAAGAGTTGGACAATGGGTGGAAAACCCAATCTGTACATGTTTTCTACAGACCCATTTAGTACAAGGCTGCTGGAAGCTTTATCATGTAGCCTGAACTGAGTGAGAAGCTGGACACAACCTTGACATTTTGCCAGTCTATCAACGTGCCAACACATATTGACGCAGAAACACATTTACACTGACATTCACAGCTATGGGCAATTTGGAGTCTCCACTTGGTCTCAGCTGAAATGGAGCACTGACAAAAGCCCACACTTTTAGGTCCCAGTTGGTGAGGTTGACTTTACACCCAGGATGTTCTTGTTGAAAGAGGACAATGCAATGATACATTTGAGTCTCCCCCACCAAAAAAAAAAAAAAAAAAAAACACTCATTAGCTTGACTTTGAGTAGGCATGGGTCTAAATCACAAAATCTGGAAACAAATAGAATACAAAATAGCCAAAGAAGTGTTAGAAACTTTCCATGGTGTCTTTTTATCAACAGCATGTGAATCGCTTAGAAGATCTTGCAGGCCGTGTGTAGTATTTAAACTTTCTTTCGTGTGTGTGAATCAACAAGAAGTCACCAGCAGGAGTCTTGTTCTGCATCCTGTTTACCAGCTTGACTGAGGAGGCTGGATGCTAATTTGGATAATCTGTAGGCCCTAAAGTTCCAAAGCATGCATAATGCTCAAACAGTCAAACAGATGATTTCATTTTGACAGTAATTCTCCAAACATACATGTTATCCAGCCAATTTTCTTGTTCAAAAGAGAGAAAGAGGAATAACAAACCTGCACCATCTTCCCCCTACCTCAGTGTTCAATAACTGACATTGTGAGGATCCAGCTCCCTAAAACACTGCACATATTTAATATATTAATGGAGAAAGCTTTGAAAAATGTTTTGGCAAGGGCATCACTGAGCCACTCACTTTCAAACTAATGAGGTATAAGCTTGTAAACCCTTGTAATAGAGGGGCTAAACTGAAAGTGCTGCACGAAGGACCCATAAAACACCAGACTCACATTTTCATGGTGCTTGGGCTAAAAATTGCCATTGGGCGTGAGAGTTTTCTCCAAATCGAGTTATCGCTGCTGAGGCCAGCTGAAGCTGTTTGTTGAACACAACGACTGGCATGTGACAACAACTTTTTCCTGATCATGTGGCAGTTTCCCCAGACACAATAATGGGAAATTAGACAACTCATGCTGTCCCTTTTGTGTGACTTCAGGCCTCGTCCATATGCTGTTTCATCTGAGCATGCGATGAGCGAGTATTTCTTTCTTTGTGTAAAAGAGGGAGAGTTTAGATTCATTAATTACGAGTATAATATATAAATGTGTCTATGTTATGTAGGTTCATTGTTCCAAATATGAGCTCTATAGGAGGATGCTGACTGTCAAAAGCACTTTCCCAAATGTGCTATTATAACCCCCCTGTTACAGCTCTAATAGCCACATTTTAGTGTTGGTCGGTGTAATGATGTTGCAGAGGGTGACTAAACTGTGAAGTATCTTGTAGAAAACTATATGCATAATTAATCATGTGTTTGCCAGGAAAATAATTTGTACTATTTATTCTACAGAGAGGTTAACCTTTTGTTCAATATTTTATCTTTATGTTGTTTTTCTATAGATTATAACGGGTTTTCCAGTTTGGATCCAAGTGGTCAGAAAGTAGTTCAAACGTGAGAGAAATATGTTATGTTTGAGGCATAATTTCTTCCTTGTATGTCCATAATTGCCCAAAGAAATTACATTTGCTATTTTTTTATTTGCATTTTAAGTGTAAATTGTGAGTCTGAATGCAGAGAGAAGTATTCATATTGAGTGACAGAAGTTTTTATATTCTACATTTCATATCTCTCCCTCACCATTAATAGAGAACACATAACTCTGGTTCTAAAAAAAAACCTTCACTGGCTTCCTATTCATCAGCGTATTCAATTCAAGACCTTACTGATCACCTACAAAGCTCTCAATAACCTTGCCCCATCTCATCTCTCTGACCTCCTACAACACCATCACCCTACGCGCCATCTCAGATCTTCTGCCTCCAACCTGCTCTCTCAGAGAACTGCTTCAAAGCACATCACTATTAGAGACAGAACTTTTCTGTGGCTTACCCCACCCCATGGACCCTTCTCCCTCAGCACATCTGTGCTGCTGACTCACTACAAAAATTCAAAAAGCGTCTACAAACATACCTTTTCAATCAAGCATTCAAACCTTGTTAAGTTTTTCTCATTCTAGTTTGTCTTGTGTGTTTGTCTCCTTATAGCACCCCTGAGTAGTAGTTAAAAGCACTTAAAAAGACGTATACATTATTATAATTAATATTTTTATGATTAAATTGCTGTACTCTTGATAGCGTTTTACCTGCCTCTCTAATTTCAGGACCTGAGTCTGCGTTTACGGACTTTTAAAAGAGCATGTATAGAGTGACAGGTTACATTAGAGACGTAAGAAAGATTTATAAATGGGGGTCCAAAAACAGATCCTTGACCTACTCCAGCAATAATGTATCACTTTTTTCAGAAGTTACTCTGTAAACAGGCTGTTTGAATATGATTTTATCCATTTCATTTCATAAGCAGGAGACGTAATAACTTGGATAGCCATTTCCAAGGCTTTTTCCCTCATTCAGATTGGTGGGCCACTCTGCTGGAACTTAGAAAAATGAGCTGACATACCTGGCGCTGCAGTCTGGTTCCAGCACATTTCCTGCATGTTTTAGATCATGAAGTAGCAACTCGGGAGGGAGAGCGGGTTGTCTAATAATTATAAGGTTGCAGGCTTGATCCTGGCTCCCACCAGAGAATACTGCTGTTGTGTCCTTGAGCAAGACACTTATCCCACCTTACCCGCTGGTGGTGGTCGGAGCGGCTGATATTGCCAGTGTTCGGCAGGCCTCACCTCTGTCAGTGCACCCCAGAGCAGCTGTGGCCACATCGTAGGTCATCCCCACCAGTGTGTGGGTGTGTGTGAATGGGTGGATGACTGATGGTGTTATGAAGCGCCTTGGGGGTTGTAGAATCATAAGAAGGCACTATACAAATACAGGCCATTTACCATGAACACAGCTGATTTGTTTAATTTAGCTCAAGACAATAAGGAAGGCTGGGGAAATGTTTCAGCTGTTAGATTAAGGTGTTAAAAAGTCGAAGGCACAGTGAAGAGATAGGTTTTTCTTTCGGTTTTATAAATGGACACTAGGGGGTGCTAAAAGCAAGCCAAAACGGCCTAGTTCCTGTTTAAAAACAAACTGTAATGGTGTTTTACAAATTCCTAAGAATGTAGTGAAGATTACAACAAGCACATCGTGACGGATGTTTTTGTATCTGACATCATCTGTGCCATTCAATAAATGAAACAATAGAGCTCAGTGATATTGATGTATGCATAAAACACATCTCACAAGCTTTTAAGGTGCTTCCCCCCTCCTTTCTTCAGTGCTTTCTTGACAAATGAGAAAGAAATCTCATATTTTTCATTCAGCAATGCTTTTCATGAGTTCAACCTCCTGAAGACTAATGTTTAGTTTATGAATTCATACGGGATAAAATGCTCAGATAACCTCAATAGTAGTCAGAAATACATAATTTAGTTAAACTGAAGGCTTCAAGAAACACATTAACAAATATACAAGTATAAGTGAGTGAAGCTGCTGGTAATAAGACATATTAAGCTTATTTATAATAAATATGGTGTATACCTACTGAGACTCATGATTCGTTTTCATCTTGTAGGAAATTACACTTACATGCTGCATCAGAATCTAATAAGATGGAATTTATCAGTAAATGTGCTAGTTGTGCCACAGTTAACCTCTGTTTAATTGTTTGCACAGGATGCCGAGTGGGCCAGGGTCACGACCAACAATGACACCTTCCTGTGCAGAGCTGTAATCGTCACTTGCCCCCCACATTTGGCAGGTCAGTGTGCGTCTCCCACGTCTGTCGAGTCACTAAATGAAATCCTCACTCATGCAGAAGGCAAATATCCCACTCTCTCATCAGCTCTGTCAAACGTGGCTAACTGTGCATCCATGCATTTTCATCAACACATTTCCTCAATCTTTTCTGGCTCCAGGGTGTGGAAGTCACATTGGCTTAAGTATATTCTGTCTGAGGTCAGGGCCTGGGCTCGGGGATTGCTTGGATTTGATTTTTAAACCAGTCGAAGAGTTAAAGCCAACACTTTAACTGAGGGCTAATGTGACATTCGCCATGGCTGGATGTGGGAAGCTGAAAGTGGTAAACACGTCACTGCCAACTTCTTTGAAATCAAGTGACTAAGGAGAGAAACATTTGGACACCTGCAGGGGTCTTGATTTTCATGTTCAAAATTAAACTTACAAATTATTACCAGAAGAAATGATTGCAAACAAGCTCAGTTCAAATGGTGGTCTCAAATGTGAATTTACATCATATTAAATTCATTTTGAACTATTTCATATTCAAACTGGTATCACAGACTACCAAAAAGCTAAAGGTACAATTTATAGTTTTTTATTGTGAGTTTGTTTGCATTATATCTCTTGAACCACTTGTGTTGTAATAAAATTCTTAGTAAGTAATTGTTAGAGGTACATCTATAACTTACAAACCTTTGGAGGATTGCTAAGCATGACTGCTTCTGGTTAGAGACATTACCAAACACAAAAATGGCTACAGCTTACAGGTCACTGAAGTCTGGCAGGGCTGATAGCCATCCCCAACACGATCCAACAATGGATCTTTGTTCCATCCTTTGCCATAAGGTCACCCACTTGTCACTGGAGTCAACCTGACATGCTTTTAAGCAAAATACCTCATAAACAACCATATGGAGTTCAATGAAACTTTCACTACCCGATAATTTTTTGTACGAGTACAACTGAATCAGCCCAGTGCAAGCTGGTCACCATTGCCATTTGTCTGCAGAAAACAGAAAATAGCTATCATTCTATCAATTTTGCTGAAATGAAGATACATTTTGGCATTGTAATAGTTAAGATGCTGGTGAAGGTTCTCAGTCATCCAGGTCGTGGTACTGTAGGTCACTGGAGTTCTTTGGCTTCTTGAAGACATTTCACTTCTCATCCAAGGATCTTTGTCAATTCTGACTGAGGCCTAGTCCACACGTAGCCGTTTTTTTTTAAAAACGAATATCCGCCCCTCCAAAAACTTGCATCCACACCACCTCGTTTAAAAAAAAAACTCTGTCCACACGTACCCGGATAAATACGTTGTTAAGGACATGACAGACCTGTAGGCGGCAGTACTTCCCCGTTCTTAACCTCGTCCTTCGTCTGTGGTCTTCCGCAAGGAGCAGTAATTCCGCTTGCAAAAACAAACAAGCAAAAAGCGCTTGGACAATTGATAAAGCGAGCGCAGCTCTGAGAGCATCCATGCTGTCGGCTAGTGTAATCACAGGTCGCACACGTGATGTCAGGATTTTTTGTCGCGGAAAGTGACGTTGCGGACCTTAAAACTCCGGTTTTGTCTGTCCACACGCAGACACCCAAAACGGAGAAAACGCAGATCTTCACTTTGGCCGGAGTTTTTAAAAAGATCCGTTTTTGTGTGAAAAAACTCAGTTTTCGTGTGGATGACAGGCCAAAACGTAGAAAAATATCTACGTTTTGGCAGATCCTCGGCTACATGTGGACAGGGCCTGAAATATGGGAGAGTCAAGCTTATAAGCTGTAGCTGTCTGTTGTTATTTAACAAGCAGAAACTAGAGCAGTAGAGTAAACCAGAGTAGTTTCTGCTTGTTAAGTAACAGTAGACTGCTACATCACGGATGGGTGATGAGACACTGGAAAATATCAGAAAATCTTCCAAAACACTATAATGGTTATTGCTTTGTGTTGATGATTGCTGTTGCACAGTTACTGTTGCTTTAAGAGATCTGTTGGTTGTGCCATTAGATGTATAGAAAGTTGGTGAGAGCTGACGGAGCTGCTGGTAGTGAGATGCAGCATTAACCACACTGTTCTTTGGACTATTTTGATAAACACTTGTTAAGAGGAAAATGTCATTTTTTTCTGGTGTTTTAGTACTGCTCAATCGTTCAAATTTGAACAAATTACCTTATGTTTGAACAAGTGCATCCTTAAAGCTTCTAGTGACTAGATGTATAAGAATGCTCAGAAGTATGCATTGCTGCTGCAGCTGTAGAGATCTGAGTTGGTTTCTGATCATTAAAATTTTTTTTGTGTCATGGACGTTGTTCAAGTTGACATCAGACAATGCAGAGTTTTAAGTTTTTTGCTGAACAATATAAGAATACTTTGGTAATGTCCGACTGTCCGGTATGTTTTTGCAAGTGCTGCAGCTGATTGTGCAAGATTGTTCATTTTTGGCTGTTGTCCCCTCCTTCCCACTGGTTACAAAAGCAGCATGTAATGCAATAGAGGTGTTTTACCTGCGAGGTCTCTTCCAATAGAGAGCATTTCAGACGCAAAACAGGAACAAAAACTTCCACATAGCTGGTCCTACGAGTTCACTAAATCATGGGAAAATTGCAATGTCAACAATGATTCCAGAAGTTTACACAATAACAAGCAAGGAGACAGATGATGTCCAAGATATATCCAAAATGGTCTGTGGCATATTTTCTGTTCTGTTTACCTTGGCTACAGACGTTTCACAGGAAATGATGTACTTATTGTACTAGTTAAGCACCTGTAAATCTGCCTGTGACTTTTATTTTAAAAGTTTCCAGATGTTTTATGCTGCTTTTGTGTTTGATTTCCTGTCATGCTCGATCTGAACTGTGGAATTTGTTGTGTTTTGGAAGCGTAGCGTGTAAAAAATAGAATCTAAGTGTAGTGGGTGCATCCCTTAGCCTCTGGAACTGGAACAGACTGCTGGATTCCTCACTCTGAATAAAAGTGAATCCACACGAATCCTACAAGACTTTACAACTTATAAGTTAATTAATCATATGTGATGAACGAACAAGACGTTTAAACCAAATGTTTGAATAATCTGTGCTTAAATCAATGAATTTGAAATGAATATTGTTCTTACAGTGATCCATTTATATCACAAATCACTGTGTTTGATTTAACAAGTTAATCATTATCTACACTCATATACATCTTCATAAGATACAAATTATGGTTAATTTTCACCTCACATAACATTTAAAGATTCTTTATTCACAGAATTAAGAATCTTGTATCTGAAGAAAGGCGTGGCTTTCTGAGGAATGTTGGTAAATACCCAGAAACTTGTCAAATTCTGATTTGCCAGAATGGCCAGAAATCATAACATTGTAGTTTAATAAAACAAGAAATACTTCCAGAATAATTCAGTTTCGAGCAGAGTTCCGAACCGGCCAATTCGGAACAAGCATCCTTGAGACATCTCTTTTAAATAAATGATAAATGACCCGCACTTGTATAGCGCCTCTCAGGGTAAGGACTCCAAAGCGCTTTACACCACAGTGTGTCATTCATCCATTCACACACACATTCACACACTGATGGTGATGAGCTACGATGTAGCCACAGCTGCCCTGGGGCGCACTGACAGAGGTGAGGTTGCCAGGCACAGGCGCCACCGGTTCCTCCGGCCACCATCAGCAGGCAAGGTGAGTTAGGTGTCTTGCCCAAGGACACAACAGCAGAATTCTATGTCCGGAGCCGGGATCGAACCTGCAACCTTCCGATTACTGGACAACCCGCTCAACCTATTGAGCATACAGTCAATCTGTTGGCACGCCCCAATCTGACACAGCCAGATGGCTCCCTAAGAGCCACATCCACTTTGGATGCCAACAGTGCTGGACTGACCATAGGGCATAGCGGGCAACTGCCCGCTGGGCCGACCCTTTCATCTTTTATGGGCCGGTGTCTGTTTTTTTTTTTTTTTTTTTTTTTTTCCCTGGCCTCTAGTTGTTGCGGACAACTTGTCCGCGCCGCCCCACGCGACGCCTCGTAAAAGTTGGTGGATTGGCCAATTGGTCATAATACACTCTGGGCTGGACCAATAGCCAGAGGTCTGATGCACCCGCCAGTTGTTTGTGAATCTCAGTAAACAGACAGACGAGCTTAACAAAATGGAGAACAAAAAACGGAAAGGAGAAGCGGAGAAAATTCGACTAAAAAAGAAACTGGCCCTTCAGGCTGATGCTGGCACATGTGTTAAAATCTCACAGTTGTTTGGTAGTGAAGGTTCAAGTAAAATCAATTTAGGAAGTGATGGAGCCTCAGCCCAGCGACAGGTTGGAGAAGAAAAGAGGGAGGAGGAGGAGAAACCCGAGCCGGTGTTGTGCCATAAATTGACTCGCTGCCAAAAAATCATTAGCCACCGCGGGATCGCGCACGGTTAGGTAATTGCATTTCTAGACAAAATTCCCCAGGATTTCGCCCTAAAACTCAGCATATCTGGCAATATGGACATTCAGAAAGCAAAGATAACCTCTTCCGGTACTTAAACAGATGTTTATCGCAGATATTAGTGTGGCAGTGTTTGTGGCACCCTGCGCGGGAGCACGAGGACGTGCTTGTGGAAAGAGGGAGGAAGATGTGGCAGTGTGAGCATCCACAATATCCCGGTAGATTGTGCGCCCTGGCTGCTTGACCAAGGAGATGTCCCTTTGGCTGACTGGTTAGAGTGTATGACTTTCACCCGGGAGTCTGGGGATCGAATCCCGCCCGGGCACTCCTTTCTGCACCTTGCCACATTAGTTTTTCCAGTTCGGAAGTTGTTTTAAGTGTTGCTATTTGTCTTAAACGTTCACAATGAGGATATATTAATCCTTTTTGCAATATTTGCGATTGAAAGATGGTTCGTGCCACAAACTTTGTGGTAAGAACTGGCTTTCTTTATGTTACAGCCTTGATACAAAAAAAATAAATAACAATGTAAAATGGCACCCTGTATTGAATGTAAACGTTGTATAAATGGAAATAAACAATTCTCCAGCGATTTAATTTTTT